GGCTTCGATTTAATTGAAATTATACTGAGCTTTGCATATCAACCCTGCTACTCTGAGAATAGATGAATTAAAATGAAGTATGGAAACTATTTTGGACAAAAAGCAGTATAAATCATCACTGGTTATTGAGTCATATAAAAACTTACAAATGTTATGGTCTGCAAATATCCTTCAGAGCTGCGCCTTCTGGTTAGATCACAAGTAATCTCCGAAATTCTGAAAATTCTCAGGACCCCAGGGTTTGACACTCGTAGCTGAACTTTTCGTAGTGCTCCACTGTTCAAAAAGTTATGTGGAGATTCCAACAGGTATGATCTTCAAATATTACACTCTTCAAATGAGTAACTGCTGCATCTCAGATCTTCCTGAGCATTTGCAGAAGCAGCATATGCACAAAACATATACACTGAAGAAGGTTTAATTCCATGCTATTCAATGGCAACCAATGAACTGTCAACACTGATGGAACAGGCGTAACGCGAATTCATTACGGCTATAATGAGAAACGAGAAGGATAGCGCTAGTCAGGGCAAAACATCGTCGTCCATTGTGGTATTTCTATATATGTTCTAAGGATTTTTGGTGAATGTTTGTTTTTAGTGACGTTTAAGATTAATAGTGATAGTTTGCGATAATTATTATAAACATTTTTATGCCGGACAGCCTTCAACAGCTGTTGTTTTATGTGATATTTGTTTAAAAATGGTTGAATCTTGCAGAGCGGTGAATTGTTGCAATAGACACATAAAAGATGTGAAAATGAAGTTTCACAGGTTGGTTTTAATCATCTCATTCATTTTTGTGTGAGAATTACCTGTTAATTGGTAATTCGAGAAAATATCTAAAAATCCTAACATGAGGAAGTTGTGGTTACATGCTATAAGAAGAGAAAACTTTACTCCCAGTACAACAACGGTAATTTGTGAAAAGCATTTCGCTCCAGAGGATTATGAAGTTAGTGTTCATGGAAATAAGGTACTAAAAAAGGTGGCAGTTCCATTTGATTTTCCAGCCCATCTCAAGAAAGAACCTAGCCATCGAAGGGTTTTGAAAAGAAAACATGAAGAATCCAACTCAAAAGCAACAGTTATGTTCTTTAAAATATTCCCAGTCTAAGCTTAAGGTTTTAACTTTTCTACTTTTAAAAAAGATATTTACAATGATGAAGTGGGTCTTAGTAACGTAATTATTTTTAAAACAAACTTTGGCTATTGGTGAAGTAGTAGAAGAACCTGAAAATGGCGATCATGCTGATGATGGAAATATATTGGCAGCTGGTCCGTCAAACGTAACACAAAAACTAGGATTTTTAGAATCAAGTGAACCTTCAAACATATGCAATTTAAGGTAATTGTCATTAAACTTTGTGTTTCTCATTTGTTACAACCTCTTTTTGTTTGTAGGGTCAGAAGATCACCAGTATACTTTGGGGATTTCAAAATTGCTGATTTAAATAATGTGCAGCGTCGGAAGAGATTTTGGAAAACTGCTCATGAAACTGTTCATCAGTACAAAAAAATTAACAAGTACAATCAGTGTAAAATTCGTAGACAAAGAAATAAAATACAAAATACAAATTTTCAGCTGGTTTGGATGAAATCCCGGTGGTTGTTCTAAAGCAGATATCTGACTATATATGCGAACCGTTAGCTTATATTATTAATGAATGTCTGTTTACAGGAATTTTTCCGTCACATTTAAAGAGGGCCAAACTGGTTCCCATTTACAAAAAAGGAGATGTGCATGACATAGATAATTATCGACTAGTCTCACTGTTATCTTCTGTGTCAAAGGTCTTCGAAAAAGTCATATATTCAAGGATAATGAACTTTATCAAGAAATACAACATTTTAACAAGAAATCAATTTGGCTTTCGGCCAAATCATTCCACACAACTAGCACTATTTAAAGTTCTTACTTATATTGTTGAAAATGTGGATAAGAATGAAAAAGTGGCCGGTCTGTTTTTTGATCTGTCTAAGGCCTTCGACACCATAGACCATCAAATACTCCTTAAAATTCTGTCTAAACATGGAATACGAGGTAAATGTGCACAGCTTATAGAGTCATACCTTGACAGTAGGGAGCAGCTTGTCTGTATAACCCAAAATGGTGTTAGGCATTTTTCATCAGTTACCTTGATTAAACAGGGTGTGCCGCAGGGATCAATTCTGGGACCGTTGTTGTTCCTGCTCTATGTGAATGGTCTTAGTGACAGATTTATGGAAGGTCTGATTTGCCAGTATGCGGACGACACTACTGTTGTGCTGACTGCGTCGGACATGTCTGGCTTGTCCGGGGTCTGTTCTTGTGCAGTGGGGACCATGCAGGATTGGTGCAAGGATTATGCATTAAGATAGAATGCTGATAAAACTGGACTTCTCACGTTCAGTAAATCATCTGCCAGGGATGAGTCGCTGTTGGTTCGTTGCAATAGCGGACCAATACCAGAGATGACCGATATAAAGTTTCTGGGCATTTACCTGGATTCGAGTCTGAATTGGGATTGTCAAACATTTGTTTTGGTTGGTAAGCTCCACAGCTTCTGTGCGTTGGTGCGGCGGCTGCGAAATGAGGTTTCCTTGAACACTTTACGGCAATTTTATTATTCATCTGTACAGTCATTGTTAACTTATAGTATAATGTTCTGGGGCTCTTCGCGGGGTGCCATGTCAGTTTTTATAGCGCAAAAGCGCATCCTGAGGTGCATTTTGAGACTTCATCCTCGAACATCATGTCGGGAACATTTTTCAAGATTGGGATTCTTGACGGTTCCATCACTATATTTTTTGGCACTTGTTTTATTTGTTAAAAAGCATATGTATCTTTTTAATAGTAACGCACATTATTATGCTAAAAGTATGACCGTTGTGACCAGAGGCAGAGAAAATCTGAGTGTGCCTGCACATTCGTCCGCATTTTTTAAGAGGGCTCCATTATACATGGCTGTCAAAACTTTCAATATGCTTCCTATAGATATAAAATCCGAGAGCAAGCCTATTAGGTTTAAAAGAGCGGTGAAAAAGTTTTTGCTGAACAGATGTTTGTACAGCTTTGATTTTAACATTTGAGCTCCATTATTTTATTTTAATAACATTTTAAGCTAAGTTGTGACATACTGGACTTTTATTTGTCATTTTAATAGTTTTTAATATTGTAAACATACATATAATATCCCGTTGGTATTGTACTACATTTTTTTTTGACGTTGCTTATGTTTTTTTCTTTAAAATTTTGCTGGCAATAAAGAATATTATTATTATTATTATTATTAAATACAAAGGCTGAATAGTCTGGTAGATGAACTACTTAAGGAGAAGAGAATACCTGCAGCTCAGTCAATAGTATTACCTGAATTATTAATTACTTATGTTAAATACTAATTTTCATATCTTCAAATGTGTAAAGGAGAATTTATTGGGAAGTTTCATACATATGTATATATAGATTAAAAAAAACTTGGTTTTTTAATTATAATTACGTTTCCAGCATTTTAACTCGTTCCAGTTGCCTGAATAACTTTTAAATCTTCTCTAAGCATCCTCGGTTTCCTATGCAATTCATTCAAGTCCGCGCGCGTTTTGCCCTGACTAGCTCCATCTCTCTCTCTCTCTCTCTCTCTCGGACCTCTTTGTCGTATGTTGGCCGCATTATCGTTTCATTGTAAAAATGGGACGGGGCGATTCAATCAGTGTTGACAGTTCATTGATGGCGACACGCTGACTCGTCTAGTTGTCAGCGGCCATTTTTTGAGGGTGCGACATGGTTGCCAGATTGTACGATTGTTAGCCAACGTTGCCAGCTCTTTGGATAAATCTGAGGACGCTGTACTTTTATATCTATATTTTGAGAATGACAAATCTTTTAACGGCGTGAGTTGACATTTTAGGATATTTTAACAAATAAATTATCTGTTAAGATCGCAAAGTTTGTAACACACGCCTTTATAAGATTCATGAAAAGTCACTCCTAAGAATGGTTCAATAAAGACAAAAAATGCTGTATATATTTTATATATTGAAATAAACAATAAACATATAATTGTATATGATAGTACAAATAATAATTTCGGATAATATACATTATCTTCATCTCAGTCTTCAATGGCATATGGTACCTGGTAATATAGAAATACAGAAATTATAAGAGTTGAAAGAATGCAACAGACAGAATGTTAATTATTATAAGTTACTAAAATTACCAGTCTTCAGATTTCATTTTTCAGTAAAACTATGATACCTGAATACCCTAGTGTAAAAGATTTCCACACCACCCAAGAGGTACTGTTTTGGCGCGTTACCGTTTATTAATGTGGTGGTTCGCCAAACAAATAAAATGAAAGTAATTGAGATTTAAGTTAAGAAAATAAATCAATAAATAACAAGGCCATATCGTCCACACAACAAAAATAATTAACATTCTAGCATTCAAAGTAAAACAAAATGTTGATATCACAGCGAGATCAGTTCTCAAAACAAAATAAAATTTTATTTAATAACAAAACAACAAAAACAAAAAAGGGCAAAATCATAAAATTAATCATTTTTTAAATATGCAGCTAAACACAAATCAATGAAAATAAATCACATATTATTCAATAGCTGCTGCTAGCTTTATCTAATTACTATAAATTATTATCACAGACTATCAATAATATCACAGCAAATTTACCGAGATAGTAATTTTTAATTGCAGAATTTTCAGAGAAATTAAGGTGAAATAATTATGTTGAAAGTTGTGACAAACCCTTTAACTTTTTCACCTTCTTTCGGTGACTATCTACACCACTTCGTTTATGATTTTTCTCTTTGGCATACTTGAATATAGTTAATCTAATACATTTTGCAACAATTTCATTAAATCATTATGCTGGGTGCAAAATTTGAATGACTTTATATAATCTCTGTTCTGCATTTTGAAATTATCTTCAAGGTTTTCCAGATGACCAGTTTCATTAAGATACTGGTTCAATTTTAAGTTTAGGAACCTTCCAAAATCTCCTATTGCTGCACAGTGGTCCTCCTCGTTCCTCCAGTTCCATTCCTCGTTAAAGGAGTACTAAACTTGTTGATGACAATAGTTTTTAAAGCGACTATGAATTGATGACAGGAGGGATTTGAATTACACACTCCATGCTGTCTTATTTGGCCAATGATGTTTTCTATAGGGTCTTGGTTCAAGTTTCTCAGAGCAAGAAACTTGAAACCTTTAGCTCTCAGACACTCCCAAAGCATTATTACAGCTTTAATCGTAATCTGCCATCCATCAATAAATTTATAACTCCTCCTTTCAAGACCTGTTTCTGAATCAATCACCCTCCATTTATTGATTTTGCATAGCATGCTTTTCCGAAAGTCTAAATGGGGTGAATCACCAGAGAGACAACATTTGTATTTTTTAACACCCTCAGCAGTAATTGTTGAACCATTCAGCGAATCGAATAAATCATCAATAGTGCTGGAAAATTCAGCAGTATGCAGTAATTCTGCAGGAAAATCCCCTAATACAGAAAATGTTTCGATAGCTGCCGACACAGAATGGCTTAGTTGTTGAGCAGCCACTTTAACTTTCATCTTCATAAAGTATTTTGAAAATTGAAGTACTCTGGCCGCAGTTTTGGGAGCATCCTGTATGTTCTCTTCTCCTGATCTAGATTATAAGCACCCTCAATGTACTTAAATCTAGCAATTTTACCGCGTTCAAATTCGATACCATTGCTTATTAAGGCATTCCGAGTGTTCTTCAGCAAGTGTGGAACATCACATATTGTTACAATCTTCTGCCCATTGACAACAGAGTTATAGGGACTAGGCCTATCCCGATTTTCAGCACACAGAGCCTTGAGTGCAGCTCTATTTGTGGTTCCCTGGTCACTGACCGTTGCGACAACATACAAGCCTTCTTCAAATGAGTAGTACTTGTGGTATCCTTAACAAAATAAAATGCCACAACTTGTTTATAACTCCTTTTCAATCCCTTTATCATAATCACTAATGAATAATTTGCTGATTTCAAAGTTCGATGGCTACCAAAATCTTCATACCCATACATCTTTTGCTCATTGGCTTGGTAGTGAAATCACTGACTCAGGCCTACTTCATCAAATATTAATGAGCAATTGCGATCAAGGTCATCCATATCCTGCACCTTTAGCTTCAGATTTTCAAAAACAGGCTTGATTACCCCACAATGGAAAGGAATGTTAGAAAGAATTGACTTCAAAGTCCTAATCATAGGCAGCTGAAAATATGACTGCAAGTACCTATAGAGCTTAGGGCTCTGCTTGTACATTGATAATGCCCATGCTTTATCATGCACAGTCCAGCGACGACCATTCTTTTTGCATTTGTCATTTCTTAACTGGGAGTTGATGAAATTTCGTGTAACTTCATTCAAATTTTCATTAATGTACTGAAATCTACCTTCCTCATAAAGATGTCTGATAGATTTCAGATCAGGCCTTGTGTTCCTTAGCAAACCCCTGAGTTTTGAAAACTTTTGAACAAAAATTATGGTGCATTTTATACATCTTTTGTTGCTCTGGAGAGAGATTAGACTTGGAAACACCAAGTTCACAAAGAAAACCAGTTGACTTTTCAAACAAAAAAGAGTACAAATCACCTTTGTGATTTTCTGGCAATGGTTTAAGGGGCCTACAGACACACGAACATGCATTAAGACATGGACGCACGTCGACGTTTGCGCGTTGATGTTCGCCAGTGTGTAGACAAATCTCTCGTTAAAAGACCGACGCACATGCTTTCTGTTTTCGCTTGAATTTATGCCTGCACAGACTTGTACGCGCGTGTATGTATGCCTGTGTGTAGACAAAACGTACTAATTTTCACAGACTTAATTCAGTGGCGCGACTGCATTCGTGTATTCTGTTGTTAGGAGCAGAGGGGTCAACTTAGAAGTTCATTTAGTTTTGAATTTGTCAATATGGCAGATTTGAGAAGTTTTTCCAAAGAGTTTATAACAGAGTTCATAGAACTATACAAATCCTATCCATGTTTGTGGCGAGTAAAATCAAAAGACTATATGGATCGCAATAAAAAAAACGAAGCATATAAAGTGTTGGTGCTGAAGCTCCAAGAAGTTGAGAAAAATGCCAACAAAGAAATGGTTAAAACTAAAATTAATAGCCTCCGAGCTAGTTTTCGGAGAGAACTAAGAAAAATTAAAGAGTCGAGAAGATCGGTTGCTGCAGCAGATGATGTTTATATACCACATTTATGGTATTATGATCTACTTTTATTTATAAAGGATCAGGAAATCCCTAGACAATCCATTAGTAATATTGAAGATGTTGGAAGCGAAAGTGAAATGGACAGTTGCCATTCAGAAATGGAAAATGAAGACGCTCTAGAACTGGAGGTAAGGCCTGATTTATTTATTTGACTTTTACTTCCCACGCCAACTGGAGAGGAACAGAGGAAGTATTGTAATCGCGAAAAATTTCGAAAATGAGGTATTATATTTTATGGATGGTATATAATATATAACACATATATATATAAAAAATAAGAGGGGCTAGCCGAACATGGATATGCTTGAACCGATAAAATCAATGCGTGGGAAGTGCGGAGTCAACCTACTTGATGCCATTTTTTGATTTCATGTAAGAAATAATGAAGTAGTACACATATTAATATAGAGGGTAATAAAAAATCGTCTTGATATTTTGATTCGCTTTACTTCAACTTGAGTACTTAGAAGGTATAATATAATACATAAATTAGCAAATCATTCTTTCCTGCCAAGCTACGGATCCCCAAACTAGTCATCTGATTGGGTTGCAAGCCTAATTCAACAGTGCCATCTTCATGGTTCTCCCTGTATAAGTTGTTATCAGGTGCATACACAGTGGCAGTTCTTCTTCTCAGAAAATTATGCAGAACACAACATGTCATCACTACTTTGTCAATAGGCTATTTGACAGTATTGAAAATAAGTTGCGAATTGTGGTCATCCTATTAGATAGTAGAATAAGAAAACACATAGTACTTTAATGTACACCTAAATATGTATATTTTTTGGGAAATAATCAAATAAAAATCAGCTATTTTTAAAAATTCGATGGGTCACAGAAACGCCCTGCGATTGGCTGCGACTCTGGTGACGTCACATGCAAGTAAACAAACATCGCGTTGTACGTTTTTGCTGGCTTTCTGTGAGATATTCTATCATAATTCTATTTCATAAACAGATTTTTATTACTTTCTTGATCAATCTTTCAACTATTGACATCATTATTCGTTGTGGACTTCAAAATGGACCTAAATTTTGTGCAAGCTGATAACAGCAATCTACCTAAGGTTGACGCATTAATGGTAGCATTTTTCTTCAAAAATAATGCGGACTACTATGCTGCGGAACTCAAACATGTGAAAACAACAATGTAAGTAGTAATAGAAAGTATTTATTTATACCTACTAACCTTTATGTATGATCATTAAAAGATTTGTAAAATCAATCTTATTTTAGGTTATGTTGATGTAATGAAAAAAGCTTTCAGTTCAATATGATAATATGGTTCATATATGGTTTCATGAATAAAACATACTTTCATGTTTTGCTTTTGTTTTACAGGTCTGGAAGGGAGTCCTACGGAGACGATGCAATTGGCTATGTGCAGCTGCACCGGGAGCATGGACTTTGCACACTTAAGTGCAAAATGTGCCCAGAGCACAAAGTGAGATCAAAAGCTTATAATGTGACAATGGTTATCAACGAAAATGAAAGCGAGATAATAAGTTGTCAGTGCCATGACTGTGCTGCTTCAGCAGGAGGATGCAAGCATGCAGTCGCTTTTTTGATGTGGGTACATCGGCGCAGTGAGGAACCTCCATCTACTTCGGTGGAATGTTATTGGAAAAAGCCAACATTGTCAAGAGTAGGGACTACTCTGAAGTACATCACTGTGCAGCAGATGTCGAAAAAGGAAGTACCACACAGACCAAGTACATCAGCACTTTACACAGACTTTGTTTTGGAAGCCAAAAAAAGAAAACTTCAACACTGCGAATTGATAAAATATCAGGACGATTTTAAACACTCAAATGTTATGCGGTATTCGCTGCACTGTTTCATAATGGACCAACCACCAAAAATTCAAGCAGACGTAGACAATCTTGTAGACATAATGAAGACAACATTCAACAGAGCTGCTATCAGTGCAATTGAAGAAGCAACAAGAATGCAGTACAAGAGCAGCTTGTGGTATGAGATGAGGTATGGCCGTATCACAGCTTCAAAGGCACATGAAGTGAGCGTATGTCATACACCTGATGGTTCATTGGTTGCTACTATAATGGGCGCAAAAATACCAGATACTATTGCAATGAAAAGAGGTAGAAGTTTGGAGCTATCTGTCCGGAAGACAGTTAGTACAACATTGAACAAAAAAATCAGAACATGTGGACTTTATGTATGCCAAGACAATCCCATGCTTGCAGCATCTCCTGATGGTTTATTGAAAGATGCCATTGTTGAAATAAAATGCCCTACCAAAGCAAAAGCTAAGAACAATTATTTAAAAAATGGAATTATTTCAGAGAAATGTAAGGCACAGGTTCAATTACAGATGCATGCAACTGGTATGAAAAAATGTTATTTTTGTGTTGCTGATAGCAACTTTGAAGAAACAAAAAATGTAGATATTATTCTAGTGAAGTACGAAGATGATTATGTCAACAACTTAATAAAAAACTTGTATATTTTTTGGAAAAAAAATATATATCCTATTTTGTATCGTAGCACTAGTCTGTGATTATCAAATAAAAAACTATGCAGTGCATATTTCTTGTTTTATTATCATTTTATTCATGGTTTTACATCATTTATTTCTTTATTTATAGTAGTAGTAGTAGAAGTATTTATTCAGCCAAGTACAAAACACAAAGTTCAAATGGTATGTCACAAAAGAGGAGATTACATGATAATAATTAAGTATAAAGTATCATAACAGGCAAAAACCCATTATTTAATAAGAGAATCTTGCAAATTTATTAGAGCACATGCAATTATAATGACATGATCAAGTACACGACGTATGTTAGTATTTATCACTGAATGTTGCTTTAAAATATGAAATTCTCTCAAACGCCTTATTACCCTTTCAATATGAATCCGCAAACTAGCTATTATTTTAGTTTGTCGAACTTCAGTTTTTGACAACTTTGCACCAGCATTTACACTGGGTGGCCTTAATAGTTTTAGTCCCTTTTCATGAAGTATTTGTTCAAGGTGTTTGAAGCCTCTGTCAGCTAAGCAACAGGATCCTTGAGGTAATCCATCTAGAAAGTTACAATTTTCTACTATTGTGGCATCGCTGGTTCTGCCCCCAATCCCATGCGAAACATAATTAACTAACCCATTAGGTGTGCAGGATACTAAATACTTCACAGTATTCCCCTTTTTGTACTCTGACCACGTCAATGACTGATGAAGAGCCTTTGATGGTTTTTGTATATCAATCTCTAAACAATCTATGATGCAACTGACATTATGATAGTTATGTCTAAATGAAATAGGAAGATTTTTTTTTACCAATTTTTTATCTATATTTACAATGAATGGTCTTAAAACACTAGCTATTATTGGTATATTTTGTAGAAACAATTTACTAGCATAAGATAATGATATTCCAAAATTATCCTCCAGTTCAGAAAATGTACTGTTCATTCTAATCTTTTTCAAGCATAGCAAAATGTGTTCTACTTTTATGCTTGTGTGTTTATGTAACAATTTGATTAAGAAATAACATTCTTTTGGAATACCAACATACATCATTGGTTTTTTAGAGATTGAACGCATAGTAATTTTGAGGCACTCTAATTTTTCAATATTCTCATTGGCATCTGTAACATTACTATCAGAGTCCGTAAGCCCTGATGATGATGATGCTGATTTAGTTACAAAAGGTGATAAATGACGACCACTTTCAATACAGGAAATATCACTATCTGACTTTTCATCTTCAAGAAAAACATTTCTCTTGACTGCTTTGACAATTTCAGACTGTGGTGGTCGAAGACTGCATGGTTTAATCTTAAAGGGCGAAGTGGAACGAGATGTTGTAGAAACTTTCATTGGTGAGGTAGAAATACTTGTAGTCTGGCATCTTGTTTGCACAGATTTGCTCCTATGATGCACATTCTCTTTTATTGTTACTTGCACAGATTTTTCTGCAGTTATGATAGAGTTGGTAATAGTTTCTCTGTCTTGAGTTCTTGATAAACCTGAAAGAACAAAGACTCAAAATTAATGTCTTAATTTCAATGTAAATGATTATGTTAAGGCACTATGAAAAGTTGTCTACTACTTCCTACTACCATTATCACTGAAGAAAAAGTGCAGTGCTGGATAAGGGGTAGTGAATCACAACATCAACAGCTTGAGAGAAAATTACCCATTACCTGAAGTACAAGTTGAGCATTCTTGATCACCTAGCAAGTAAAATGTCCCATTAAAATGACCTATCACTTTGAATATATCAATTTTAAACCATAAATATTATTCTGTGAAAATCTCAATGTGCTACAAATATGTTATTCAGTTCTGCCCTTTTTATTCAGAAATAATGGAAGAAGTAGTAGACAAGTTTTTATAAGGCCTGAAATAGGTTACAAAAATGTCTATCAGCTCTTAGACTATAATTTATGATAGGACACATGTAATAGATTACATACCTTGAGGTTCAATAATGTCTTGTATCAAACTCTCATCTTTTTGTAAGCTTTCAGCTTGGGCTTCAGTAGCATTTTGACTTTGCAAACATGTGTTGACCAAATCCATTCTTTTCCTCTTGACATATGCTCCTCGAGAAAGTCCAGCATCAGACAGTGGTCTTTTACGATCTTCTTGACAATGAAATTTTGTTGGCACAGCATCTTCTGTCAAAAGTATCTTCTTTCTGAAACCCATTTTGTACTGCATGTAGTTAATGGTGTCTTTTTCCATCTGCAATTCAACATAACTATCACTATCTAATAAGCAAAGTAGGTAAAATGACACAGCATAGAAAATTATTGAGATATGTAGGTAGCTAATATAATCACAACAACAGAAAACATTTTGAAACCCTACAGAGTAATAAGTTTAGGGTTAATAAACAGGATCTTTGATCCTCAACACTGACTTATCCTCAACATAACCAAAGATACATTTGAGGTTATAGATAGTTATATATTATTTCAATCTTAAAAAAGCGGTAATTTAAGCTACCTAGTAGATAACATATTCAATTTATACTTACATCGAAGTGATCTTCACACATAAATACATTTGAAGTCGATGAAATGCCCTTTGGGTCTCTCCGAGCTAATAGTAACCACTTTTTTCGTCTTTTACAATCGGTTGGAACAGAAACAAACAATGTTTGTGGACTATTTATAGACGTATTCGTACATTTTGGCACTACACACCATTTATAGACCATTTTATCTATGATTTTATAGCAAAATCAAGCACAGAAATTAACTTCGGCTGACAGCTCGTAATCGTGTTTACTGGCGCGTGACGTCACAGACGTCATCTGCCGGCGCCATCACAGGAATAGCGTTTTTGGCGCGGTTCTAAAAATTCAAACTTTAAATTTGATTTCTATTAAAAATAGTATAGATTTTCAGGAAATATTCATGTAGTGTGCTCATTATATATAAAAGAATAATTTAAAATGATTTTGCAAAATTAGTCAAATAGCCTATTGCTTTTAAGTTAATAGATATAGCTGTGTGGAATATTCTAAATCGAGCAGAGAGTATACCGAAAGCATTCTCTACTCTACATCTTGCCCTTGAGAGACGATAATTGAAAATTTTCTTATCATGATCCAAGTCTCTCTGGCTAAATGGTTTCAAGAAATCACAGCGGCGTGCAAACGCTTCATCACCTATAAAAACAAATGCAGCTGGAAATCGGGGAAAACAGAAACGCAAGACAAAGTCTGATAACCAAGAAGCAGACAACGTGTTGGCGGCGATAGGTGAAAGACTACGTTCCAAGAATGACGATCAATTCGCCATTTTTGGAAAAAATGTCGCAGCAAAATTGAAAGGACTCCCAAAAGAAACCAGATTATACACTGAGAAACTCATAAATGATCTGCTGTTTGAGGCTGAAATCGGTAACGTGTCCAGAAATACTAGGATTGTTTCGTCAGGAGACAATGAACTGAATCAAAACAATTTTTCCAGTAATAGCGTTGTTGATGCTTGCTACCCTAATCAATAAACTACAATTCAACTCAACCTATAAATATATCAGGCACAAACTTATTTGCTACCCGCTATGCCACTTAAGCCCCAGTGCCATCAAAGCCATCCTCAACAAATCAACAGTTTCAACTTATTTTGGATCGTATAATCCTCTAAGTGAAGCTAACATTTAAGGTCCAGTTTATATTTACATATAAGAGTTCTATTAGATTAGCGTTGCATGTATAAAAATAGAATACTTGAGAGTTTGTGTTTGTGTTTATTTTGTTTATTTTACTACTAAGTAATATACTCTGTACCCACCTTCATATAGTCTTTCTTCAGTACTTCATAAATAGCGCTGCATGTCTCTGGAATTATGTTGCACAATGACTGTGGAGAAATCAGGGTAGAAAATTTTAAATCTTCATAATTCCTCCCAGTGGCCAAATACCTCAATATGGCCGACAGTCTTTCATGTACCGATATAGCGGGTCTCATCGGTGTGTCCTGTTTTATGCAATAAGTGGCGTAACCATCTCTAGGAGTTTTATATAACTATCTTCTATCAGGTTCTAATCGTAGCTCTTCAAGTAAATTGATGTGAGAATATTGATCCCGCTTCAAAAGCCAATCTTTAACCCATTTTCTTCGTGGCTGACGTCCCTTTTTCAATTGATGTTTTCTTTTTTTCACAATACAAACGCACGCCACTGCTAGTAAGTTTAACTCATCATCGCTAGACATGGCGACAAACTACAACATCGACGTGGAGAAAAGTGACACACAAGTCTCTATGTGTGGAGCTAAAAGTAGATCGACGGGTATCACTGCGCAAACATCGCCGTGCGTTCATGTCTTAATACATGTTCGTGTGTCTGTAGGCCCCTTTACAATATGCATGTTCTTCAAAGATGCCATGTACAGGTAATCTTTGGTTATCCTCAGGGGTTGCAGCAATGGAATTACCTAATGAAAAAGTATTAGGACTTTGATGAAGAACTTCTACATCCTCTGGAGTTGGTTCAATGCTTTTTGTTGTAAAGTATCAGAAGATGGATGATCAACATCAGCATTCTGAGGAATTGAAGTGGGAAACTTGGTGAATGAACAATCAACAGCAACATTTTGATGGAACGGAGAAGAATGTTACCATCAAATAGTGAAGAACTAGAACACAAACAATCAACAGCAGCGCTTTGATGGATTGGGGTGGATAAGCCTGTATTATCTGATTTTCGCTTTGGAATAGCTGATGGAAGTAATCGAGTCCGAAAAACGTTAATGTAATCCGCAGCAGTAAAGTGGTCTTCACAGATGCAAAAATGCCTAGAGTCCGTATGTGAGAAGATACCACAGATCTTCTTCCAAATACCAGCCATCCTCGAGTTCTTGGGAAAATGATGGAATTTTTTGGCGGGACGATCAACGCCGACTGCACCATACCAACGAATAGTCCCACAACCAGGAAATTTGCAACTGCGTGAAACTTTCTGGAATCACCATGGTCATAACCAAGACAAAAATCTAACTCCAGGAACGAGTTTGGTAATAAGCAGCCTGGTGCTGTTGCGTTTTGTAGAACATTCCGATTTCACTGTTTTTTCACTTGACTTATAGAGGGTAGTCTATAGATTATTTTAAAACAAGAAAAGTGTGGATGAAGCACTTTTTTCATGAAATTTTTTTCCCAAATCACTGTATTTTTAGAAGTTTTTCCACCATTAACTCCACCGCCATCCGTCGTATGTCGTATGATGTTGACGTCTGTGCATATGTCATAAATCAAATCCAAGCGGGTAACCAAAATTTCCGTATTATGTACCGCGGTTATAATATGGTTCAAGATGACACACGGGATGGTGACGTCAGTTACTCGAATCGCTTGAACGCGTTGGTTTTAACCGCGGTTTGTTGCAAGTTGTTTATTTTAGAAAAGCGCGTATATAATTTCTGATTATTTTTATTATCACTTAATAATCGGTGCTTTTTCGTCTACAACGGGGCATGGAAAGTTGAAAAAAAGAAAACTTTGATAATATTAATGGGAGGAATGTTTTTTTTCCGAAACAAATTTTTACTGATGGAACCATGGCTTTGTAGCTATGATAACTTTCAATTATCTAAACTTTTCCGTATGTCAAAGAAAATATTTTTTGATTTAGCAGAAATGATGAAAAAGCGCCGAAAAAAGATATTAACAAAACCGTATACAGGTGGACATCATCCAGCGAGTTTATACGGCATACGGCCATATTTTAATATTCTTGTGGTATATGGCTATACAGGATACTTTTTTAAGTGTGGGAACTAGATTTAAAGTGTCCCCAACAACAGTGATGATTATAAATAATAAGGTACTCTCTTATGCTAAAACTGAAGTCAGCCTGTATCAAGTTTCCCAAAAATCAAGCTGAAGTACAATAAAAATATCCAATACCCGGCAAAATTCTAACTTGTCACATTTCAAATAATAACCAGAAATATAAAACTACTCTTGAGTTGGGTAAATACCACAATTTTGCGGTGATAACTATGACATATAACAGCTGATTCATGACGTCACGGATCTTATAACCAAACTGATAACCACACTCGCTTGAACGGATCGGTAAATACCAATCCAAAATGGTAAATACCATTTACATTTGGTTATCCGCTTGAATTTGATTATACAGTATATTCAGATAAGAGATAGACCGGACATAAACAAGACCACGTGATCATCGAACGCTGTAACATTCGGCAGGGACCTATTAAGAGTCACGCAGTAGGTACATATTTTAGATAGTAGATGCTGCTTTGCGTAACTTTGTAGTAAATTAGCACAATTCGATGTGTATACGATTGGTGATGGTTATAGGATCATGTGGGGGTGGGGTAAGAAATATATAATGATGTAAATATACATAAGGGTTTCAAAATTTTCGCTTCGATTTCCAGCTTCGGATGCCGCCTGATGTTTGGTGAAATACAGTCGAATATAATCTCAAAATGGCGTTTAAATTAGCCTAAATTAAAAATAATCGTATATCTCTTAAAATTGCTTTTAGAATATTGATTAGTATATTTTTTGATTTCTAGGTAAATATGTAACCAAATTAAAACGTTCAAAACGTAAAAAAATGTGCATGGTTGAACATTGTCAGAAAGTAGATTCTTGAATAGGTTTTGCCAAAATGGGTTCAAAAATGTCAATAATTAATTAAAAAATACAGTAGCTTTATAATTACTTATAACTTACCGAATTTGATGAACGACATCTTTTATTGGAAAGATGAGCTTGATGAGCTTTCATCATCGCTACTGCCTGAAGCACCAACGTCAATAATGAATGGCTCGACTTGTTCCTCTAAAATATTGTCCAGTTCCCACATTCTCTTTTCAACTTTGTCTTTCACGTGCTTAATACACTTTTCCCATTTTTGCGCTGTTATTAATTCTAGTGCTTCTTTGAAAAGTCCTTTGAGGTCACAAAATTTAAAAGTTGTATTGTGCTTAGCTATATAATTTTTAACCTCTGCCCATATGAGCTCGCAATGGTATGGAGGTAAACGGAGCACAGTTTTATTTTGACTTGCTGCCATTTCGTCAATGGCGTATTTTTGATATTCCGCCTTGTGATCCTTGACAATTCTTAATAATTGTACTTTCAGCATTGCTTCTTCAAAGTTGATATTTTTCGAGCGGAGCCAATTTTGAACATCAACTGTCCTTGAAGCCGTTGTTGGGACCTTCTCCATTCTTCGAGAATGATAAGGCGCATTATCCAACACAATTACTGCGTTTTCCTCTAAGTTCGGTAAAATTTTTGAAAACCACTGTTCAAACGATTCGCCATTCATTTCCTCGTGGTAATCTCTAGTTTTCTTAGACTCAAAGCACCACAGACCGTCAACAACAAATCCATCCTCACTGCCAATATGGCAGATAATGAGCCTTTTCCCTTTACCTGGAAATCGAAGTACTAACTGGTGTAGATTTATTTCAATAAGCGAACCTTTTTCAAATGTTTTCATCACATTCAGCGAAAAAACATTGAGACATGAGTATCAGATTGCTATAATTGGGATTATTTATTATTATTATATGAATTGAAAGAAAGAATATTGAACGTCGTATGATTACTCAGCGCTTCACAATTTAATTTAAAGTTATAAACCTTTAAAAAATGAATGATCAGGAACCTGAAATACGCGCAAATATTAATATTAACAAATTATAACTTTATAAAGCTTAAAGTATGAATTAAAATGATTAGAAATATTAGGAACGGTACACAATATAAAACTTAGTAACTTTTTTTAAGTTTATAATATTCGACATATTTTAAGATTATATTAAAAAATTATTGAAATATCGAAAACACATAAAAACATGGCTTAAAAAAGTTCTAACAAATGAAAATGACAATAAAACATCCACGCATTTTATCGAAAGTTATAAAAGTTTTGTTACTTGTAATATGTTTTATCTGCCCCCTTGTTCCCAAGGTTTGAAAAACATCCGATTGTTGTCTATTACTCGTATTTACCTGCTGGATTTTTTAATCCGGTGGACAGTCCACCTAGAAAGGCCCTCCTGGATGAAGTTGCAGAATCATCAACCCATACTTTACTTGTAGTGTGTCCTGCGTTTACCCACGTTTCATCAAGGTAATAAATCTTCCTGTTTTGATTTCTATATTTCCCAATTTTTGTTAAATAATCCCTCCTCCATAGCACAATTTCTTCTCTATCCAGTAGTAAACTATTACGACCCCGTTTTTTCCATTTGAAATTTAAATGCTTCAGTAACGCATGGAAAGTTGATCGTTTGAAATTTGTCAACGTTGTATCTCCATTTACCTCCTGCAGTACTTTATCGATAGTAGGTATTTCATTCCTAAAGAAGAATTCATGCACTTTCCTCCTAATCGCATGCTTATCAGCTTCATCCAATGATTTAACAATACTTTTGCGATGTTTACTGGTCATTGGCTCAAAAAAGGTGTGATTTTTTTTGTATTGTCTTAACACATTAAACACTGATGCTCGACACACCCCAACTTTGTGAGAAACCTTCACAACAATTTCTTTGATGGTTGATGCCTCGTTCTCCTCGCGCTCGATCTTATATATATTCAAAATGACCTCTTTCATTTCTGCACTCAGGTGTCTTTTTTTAGAGCGTTTCCTAGGTGGACTACAGGAGTTTACAACTTCATCGGCAGTATCTGTACTACTGGGCATTTTGCGCAAGCAGTTGATAACAATAACAATCAATAACAAGGTATAACAATAACAACGACAAACTCAACAACTTAATAAGATAACAAACGAAATCGTCCAAAGAAATATCAAATTGCAATGATGCACACGACATACGTAACACGTCTGAACCTGAATGTGACTCTGCCTTGATACGACTGCTCTGCCGCTCGGCATAGGCATTTAATTGCGAATTGACCAATGAGGGCTCCTGTTTTACGTCGAGACGGCGGCGTTAGCGTGAAAATCACCCGAACCTTTTGTTTACACCCGGTCTATCTCTTATCTGAATATACTGTAGTATATGAGAGGCGCTTGCCTGCACTGTTGCCAGATTGGGCTCCGCATTAAGGGGAAAGTATGAAAAGTGGAAAATTTATATACGTATATTTAAATAATGAAACACAAAAGCGAAAAACTGAAACAAACAACAGTGGCAAATAAAAAGCGATTCTTAATAATTATATAACAAAATATAACAGTAGTAAACTAAAAAACAATCGTAAATAATTATAAAAACAGTAAAACAAGAAACAATTCCATGTAATTATAATATCAGACTACCCTCTATAAGTTTCAAGTGAAAAAACAGTGAATTCGGAAGTTCTACAAAACGCAACAGCACCAGCAGCCTAAATATTTTATTTGCACTCACCCAATACAAGCCATAGTTACGATTTGATGTGCACCTGCAAAATATTAAAATAGTATTACCAAAAACTACGCTGTTTTCTAGGCCGCATCCATTGAAAAAGAGAGGTTAGGGTTACAGTTGTTGGTACAAAACACTATATACTGCTGATATCGCCGGAAATTTTAAGACTGACAGTACATTGACAGCATAAAATGTCATACTTGTCTATTGGTCGCCATTTTTTAAGGGTGCGACATGGTTGTCAGATTGTGTGTTGGCAACACCGCTTTGTTTCCCATTCTCCCATATGAGTTTCACCCCCTTAATATGGGCGAATGGGAATCAAAGCAGGGTTGCTGGTGCACAATATGACAACCATGTACGCACCCTCAAAAAATGGCCGCTTATTCACAACTGACGTTGTCTGATTGGTCAGATTTAAGTTTCTGGCGGGTTTCTTCCTATGCCTTGCATAAATAACCTTACTTTTCAGCTAGCCATTTTAGTTTTGCGTAACATAAACATTTTATTTTAAATTGAATAAAATCCCTATTATCAGTCACAGAACTCGGATAATAGTCCAGATAATATCGAAAGATCTGCTCGGAAAAATCTTCCGATTCCGATTTTTGCGTAATCTGATTCAAGGACCTCTGTTAACACGTTAACCGCCGCATCGCATTTTTAACCCTGCGTCAGTCACGCAATCTAAAATTACATGAGCGGTCGCATCGCGGCACTGAGTGCCGTATCTGGACAATGACTTATTTTGTATTATTATAGAGAAAATATTGACTAATAAGTTTGTAATTAAACAGAATAGACATTTAAAAAATCAGTTTATTTATAATATTGCGCTCTTATTTATTTAAACATTCAAAACTAAAACATTATTCTATAGCGAACATAAAAGATAAACACTGAATTTTTAAAGTGAAAATGGTAACGTAGCCACCAAGAGACTTAATTCTAAAATAAATCAGTCTTCCTCCATCGGGGTATACAAACAAGTATCACATTGAACTGTTTTTTTGCAATGGCTTTTACATACAAACTGATAACATGAGTCACATCTACAGGAGTTTTATTATTTTTATGCGCACTACAAACATGACAACGTCCACTACCATTTTGCTTTATTGCAGGTACCTCATCAACAGTAGTTTGGTATCGCGAAAGAAATTCTCTAATGTCTTTTGGAAGTGTAATTATTTTCGCTCGTTCCGCCATATGATGTTCCATTAGAGGCACGCCTAATTCGTTTAAGAATTTTCGTCTTCTAGGAGACTCTTCTGTAGGTTTAGTATTATTGAATCCAATTTCAGTGTTTATCCCAGTAATTTCAAGAATGCGGAAAAATATTGCAAGGGGCCATCGTCTAGTGGTTCTCTGGGTTGTATAAGAGACACATTTTTGATCGACAGTATCGACACCACTCTTCGTCCTGTTATAATCCAAAATGATGGTTCGCTTATTTGTTGCCTCGTCAACCTCTCCTTTGTCATCAACAGAAGAAAGAATTATCACAGCCTTATTCTTTTTGGGTACGTAAGATACCAAATTAATTTCGTCCTGAAATCCGAATAATAATAACTATTCGTGCTTTATTCGGAAGGAATTCCGGGGGTATTTCCTTTTTATTTTTCTTTATTGTACCTATTAACGTAAGGCCATTTTGCAAAAGATAATCTGCTAGGGGATAGCTCGTATAATAATTATCTGTTGTCAGGTTTCTCTTGGAATTTTTTAAAGGGTCTACCAACCTTCGAACTATATCGAATGGCTTATTACTTGTCTGAAAGGGACCATCTCGTTGTTGCCCACAATAAATCTTAAGATTCCAAGTATAATAGGTGCGACTATCACACAAAGAATATATTTTTATACCGTATTTTGCCGGCTTTTGCGGCATATATTGCACGAACCCACATCGCCCCCGAAACGGATGAAGCATTTTATCAATGGTAATGAATTCCCCAGGGATGTAATTATTCATACAATTCTTTACAAAATCGGAGTAAATATCCCGTATTGCAGCTAATTTATCTATATTTTGGCGTTCTTTCCTGGTGTTGATATAGTCAAATCGTAAAGCACGTAAAAGGATAAAAATCTTCTGTAACTAAAAGCAGCCCGAAGTCTAATCATTCCAGTTCCATCTGTACTCCACAGTTCTCGCACATCTACACGATTTCCTTTCTTTACTGAAATTATATATAACGCGCCGAATAATGCCTGGATCTCCGTGGACGAAGTTATTTTGCAATCTCTATCTCTTGCAAAATTTTGTTTTTTATTTTCTATATATAACTACAAAGCAACAAGAAGAAGGAAAACAACAGGGGACACAGCGAGCAGCACCCACCCAATTGCAGACAGACTACTGGAAACATCGCAAGAGATCTACTAGCCGCCTGGAGAACACGACTGCCTCCTGATGTACACTTGGTAACGTACAATTTCAATCTAACTATTTTTTGCGATTTATCTCTGTGTGTGTGATTTTTACATCTTTTTATTTGCATTTTTGCGCATTTACTCTATATATTGTCGATTTTTGCGTATTTTTCCCCATTTTTACGTATTTTTCTATTCCACATTTGTATATTTTTGCGTTCACCCTTGACATTATTGAATCTTTTTGAAACAACTTTCCATTTAAAATGTCTACTAACGGTTCAGATGATTACCAACCAGCTGAAATTCCTGATAACGTTCATGCGAACATTGACCCTTATAGATTATCTGAAATATTTTTAATTGTACCCGAGTACGATGGAAACCCGATATTGCTTTCGACCTTCATCAACGCGTGCCGAACGGCATATCAAATGGCCGTCGAGGAGCAGCAGCTTCTCGTCGTTTTACATATTAAAAACAAACTTCGCGGACGTGCCGCCGAACTTGTGAACAGCCAAAACCCTTCCATGTGGGAAGACATACGGTCCCTGTTAGAAACGCACTTTGGAGATCTTAGAGATCTCACATCTTTAATCGCGGATCTTCAACACATGCGCCAACTCCCCAACGAATCACCCCTAACCTTTGCATCTAGACTGCAGACGCATGCAGCCAAAATGCATTCCGCCGTGAATATGCAAAATCTAAATCGCGAGCAAAAATCTGCTCAAAGTTCCCTCATCGAAACGATGACTTTAAATTGTCTATTCACAGGATTAGACTCAAAAATAGGACCTGTTGTGCGATCAGGACATCCCACGGATATCTTGACCGCAGTTTCGTATATCAAACGAGAGTTACAACTCTCATATTTGGAACGACAAAAATTCGCCAAGGCCCCAAACCCGAATCAAAATTCTGTTAATCGAAGACCAAACCCTAAAATTTGTAATTTTTGTAATCGTCCCGGTCACTTGGCAAATGAATGCCAACGGAGACAACAGTCTACAAGTTTTGCCCCGAGACAGTTTAACCAGCCCCAGCCTCAAAATTACCCTAGTTTGAATCAACCTATGCAAGTTAGACCATCTACATCTAACTACCATCAAAATTCTAGTCAATATCCTCCCAGACCATCTGTAATACGACCAAATGCGCCTAACGCGAGTGCGCCAAGACCCTCTGTAATTCAGAGCAATCCAAATTTCCAAAACCCTAATTTTCAAAGAAATTTTAGACAAAATCCTCCCAAACGAATTAATTATGACGCTCCTGATTCTTATGATTATTCCGACTACGGTGAACCAGACCTATACAACACGGACTACGCTAATGAATATGACGATACCCAACACTCCGCCTACACACCTTCCCCATACGATGATTTTAGAGAACCCACTATCGATTTTTGTTACGAATATAATCAAACCGCCCATACATTTGTTGACAACGCTTATTCCGACATACAACAATTCCAGGATTTTCAGACCAAGTGTTTGAAAGAGAAACCCCCTGCGGAACCCAACGACAGTACCGCGATAGTATGTGCGTACTTAGCGAATCTAATAAAAATTATTATCACTTGAAGAAGAGATCACCGAACGAGCGAACCATGGTACCATTGTAAGACAGGCTTCAAGATCCTGATATTGGTGACAGATGACACGTTATGACAGCTGTCAGTCAGTTAAGTAAACAATTTTAAATTTATGTATTTCCTTTTAACATTGCCCTGTAAGAGGACAATGGCCTTAAATAATTACACAATTATTACATGTATTTTAAAAAATAAGTATATATATATAATTATACCTTCAGAACCACATCAAATAAAAGATAGGAATGAGTCATCACAGATCAAACATTTTCGCAGTGCCTCGCATCCAGGCGCTGATTTGTATTTTCTATTGACATCGCAAAATAAGTTTTTATAAAACTGAAACGACTGGAAATAAAAAAATAATGTAATAACCTTTTCGCTTTCATAAATATTCCTGTCTGTTGAGTATCTTCTCACCTGTTACTTCACCAACCCGCGATTTTCTGTTCTTATCTCTCACAGGTTTTGAAATTCAGCAAACTTGCATAATATAATTTCCAGGTTGAATAATAAAAAGTGGATGCGCAACTAATTTCAACTTTTGAATACATCTCAAGTAAGTCTATTTGAGACAAGAAACCAAACCAAAACTTTTTCAAATAAATTCCAAAAATTAATGTTTTCGCTTCATCAAAGGTAGTATTCGTTTTTTTTGATACTCCGAAACAAAACGATGTTTGACAAATAATGTTTGTCAAAAGTTGATTTTGTACGAGATGGGAAAGTACAGATGTCTTTTAAGTTTTGCATATAGAAACATAGTAGGCCGCGCGGATCGAACGTCAGTACTGAATCTGAGGCGTCCTTGAAGATCTCAAAGACCTCAATTCAAAAAATGTTCATGAAGAATTAGGAATAAGAAAATTAGTTTCTCGTTGGATTCCCCACCTGTTGACTGAAGAGCAGAAAGCAGCCAGGGTTAATTGGCGTCAAAAAACGCTTGACCGTTTCAATTCCGGAAACTAAAAAAATGTGTACAGCATTGTTAGTGGTGATGAATCGTGGATTTACTGTTATGAACGAGAAAATAAACGACAGTCGGCTGTTTGGGTGTTCCAAGGTGAAGAAAAGCCAACAAAAGTAATCCGTTCTCGAAGTGTTTCGAAAAAGATGGTCGCGACATTTGTGTCAAAAGCGGGCAATCAGCTTAAGTGGAACGATATTTTTTAATTCATGATAACCAAAAAGAATCCCTTCAAACTGTTTTTCATATACGATCATACAGATAAAAATTATAGGGCAATGTCATTAAAACGGCAACTTGCACATTTCCAAAACATAACTATTAATCAGTTGAATAAGGAACTTTATCCAATATGTTTAGAAAAATACGAGGGATGTTTTTAAGTTTTGCATATAGAAACATAGTAGGCCGCGCGGATCGAACGTCAGTACTTAATCTTAACCTCACTCTTTAGTAAACTTAAATTCAAAGTTTCACAACAATACGTGCAGTGTTCTCACTACAGTGAATTTTTAAGTGTCACAAAGTCATTAGAAAAATGGAACTCAACCGAGAACATTTTCGCGCCATAATTTATTCAGAGACAATTATCATAACAAGAATGCCTTGCTCAGTTACTGTCTGGTTTCGGCAACGCAGCGCCACATCAGTCGACAATTTCCCGTTGGTATGAAGAATTTAAACGTTGACGGGTGAGTCTTAGCGACAATCCCAGGGTGGGTGCACCAAAAACAGCAGTCACCCAGGAAAACGTCGATGCTGTGCGCAAACTCATCATTGAAGATAGATATGTGACATATCGCGAGATGGAGGCGTCCTTGAAGATCTGAAAGACCTGAATTCAAAAAATTTTACATGAAGAATTAGGAGTAAGAAAATTAGTTTCTCATTGGATATCCCACCTGTTGACTGAAGAGCAGAAAGCAGCCAGGTTTAATTGGTGTCAAAAAACGCTTGGCGGTTTCATTTCCGCAAACCCAAAAAATGTGTACAGCATTGTTAGTGGTGATGAATCGTGGATTTACTGTTATGAACCAGAAAATAAACGACAGTCGGCTGTTTGGATGTTCTAAGGTGAAGAAAAACCAATAAAAGTCATCCGTTCTCGAAGTAAATATTTTGAATTTGAATTTGAAGTGTTTCGAAAAAGATGGTCGCGATATTTGTGTCAAAAGCGGGTCATATTGCAACAGTTCCTCTTAATGAGCAAAGAACTGTTACTGCGGATTGGTATACCACCATTTGTTTGCCAAAAGTCATCACCGAGCTTCGAAAAATCAACCCCGAAAGAAGAATCATCCTCCACCAAGACAATGCAAGCTCGCACACGTGGAATTATTAGACCATCCTCCACATAGTCCCGATCTAAGTCCTAACGATTCCTTTACTTTCCAGAAAATTCAAAACAGACTGCGTGGTCAAAGGTTCCAGTCATCAGAAGAAGCAGTTGACGCATTCAAAAATGCCGTTTTGGATCTGCCAGCAAACGAGTGGAATAAGTGCTTCGAAAATTGGTTCGAGCGCATGCAGATGTGTATTAATCTTCGAAAAACAATAAAGTCATTTAAAGCTACCTACCGTGTTGTTTTATTTCCATATGCAAAATTTAAAAGACATCCCTCGCACAAAAAATTGCTTTTGCGATACCGAAAAACGATCTGAAAAAACGAAAATGTTAATGTCGCGATGCTTCATAAATAACCATTAACACAATTGCGATACCTGTATATTCAGCGTGCACGACAGATATTTCATCGCTCTCTCGCTTTCACATAGACATTGAGCGCGCATTCAATTCACAATTACTATGCAAATATTTACAATAACTGTACTCTCTAAAATGCTCTGGGGGTTTTGTTATTGGTTGGTTGAATCATGTGTGAGATTTGGCAACATCAAAATATTCATTTTTCATATATTGTTTTTAGGGTAGCAAATGGCATATTTTGAGTTTTTACATTGCTTATATATATCAAGTCTAGAGAAAAGTTCTAAAGCTCATTTTTTGTTCAGAATGTCCTAAAAACACCAAAATACTTTAAACAAAGCGAACAAATCAATTTTAATAACAATTTTTGGAGCAATTTTGGGCCTAGTCACATACAGATTCTTTAACACGTTAACTGCCACCTGCACCGCCCGCTGTCAACTGTCATATTACCTGAAGCGCCAAACAAAATATACGGCGTATTAGGAAAATGTCTTTGTTGTTTTGTTGATTATACATCAAGCTATCGTCCTCAAACTAACATACTACTACTACTACTACTACTACTTCTACATAACATATTTTTGATTGGCTGAACGATTTAGTAATTATTTTTTGTTGGTAGCCGGCTATGCAGGTGGCGTACATGTAAAGTTGGTATTTAATATTTGCCATTTGTACCGCCGGCGAACATGCATTATCCCCCCTACAAAGCATGAAACGCATAGGATTTATAGGAGCGAGCGGCGGTAGCGTCAGTACGGTTACCAAAGCGTCAGCGGCAGCTTGTTTGGACAAGTTCCAATGCGGTTTAGAAATTTTAGAATTGATACAAGTATTTGGTTCATTGTTCTTCTACAAAGAGAAACTTATGCGGGTAAGTAAGCAATTTTTATCGATTTCATCATTTGCGAAGCGAAAATAATTACACTTCCAAAAGACATTAGAGAATTTCTTTCGCGATACCAAACTACTGTTGATGAGGTACCTGCAATAAAGCAAAATGGTAGTGGACGTTGTCATGTTTGTAGTGCGCATAAAAATAATAAAACTACTGTTAGATGTGACTCATGTTATCAGTTTGTATGTAAAAGCCATTGCAAAAAAACAGTTCAATGTGATACTTGTTTGTATACCCCGATGGAGGAAGACTGATTTATTTTAGAATTAAGTCTATTGGTGGCTACGTTACCATTTTCACTTTAAAAATTCAGTGTTTATCTTTTATGTTCGCTATAGAATAATGTTTTAGTTTTGAATGTTTAAATAAATAAGAGCGCAATATTATAAATAAACTGATTTTTTAAATGTCTATTCTGTTTAATTACAAACTTCTTAGTCAATGTTTTCTCTATAATAATACAAAATAAGTCATTGTCCAGATGCGGCACTCAGTGCCGCGATGCGACCGCTCATGTAATTTTAGATTGCGCGACTGACGCAGGGTTAAAAAAATTTCACAGGAAACTAAAAAATAAAAAGGTTATGACTAAAGGCCATTTCTGTCTTGCATAAAAAAATTGAAGTTTTATTTTATTTTATTTTTATTTTATTTTATTCATTACAACACCCTACAGTAAATACCAATTACAGGGTGAGGAAACACAGAACATAACACAGATATAAAAGACAATAATAAGTAATAAGTAATAGATTACAAACTAAACTAAAAAGTAAAAAGCATATGACTAAATGCCATTTCTGTTTTGCATAAAAAAATTGAAGTTTTTGAGTTACTTAAACTTAGTCACTGTCTGTATCAGATTCTTCTTGTTGCATTTCTGTTCTCTCTATACTATATAAATTATTTTTGTATTTTTTAAAATGTTTTTCACCAAACTCGAAGTCTAAGCAGCAACATTTTTTTGTACTTTTTCCAGTTTGATAATTATCGCGATCAAAAGTTAAAGATAAAATACGATTCCTTATCTTTGTTTTGATTATCTCCATATATCAGAATGTTCACTCGACATCTGCACTACCATGTGGCAAAAGTTAAAATTATTAGACATACTTTGGAAATACACTTCACAGGTTCTGTTCTTACCACCTACTACCATCTATACGCGTCTCCATTGAATAAGAATTACCGACCGGTGATTACCACAGCCGATTGGAAAGATATATATAAGTATTTAGATTTGGTTACTAACTGCACTCATTTTTTTTTCTGGCAAAAATATCCATCAAGTGTACCTAAATTGCAAAATTCCGCTACTTTTAACAAAAAATCCAATTCCGCCGCTACGCCGCTACCACTTGAAAATTCCGCTACCAGTAGCGGAATTCCGCTACTTCTGGCAACACTGCATTCAACACATCAAGTAACATAGATTTGCTCCTTGGTGCAGCCCATTTTTGGAATCTCATCTCCATAGGTCAAATCAATCAATCAAATCAACTTAGGCAAGCAACTTCCAGTCTTGCAGAGAACAAAACTTGGTTGGATTGTAACAGGTCAAATTCAGCCTAACAATGCTATCACAGATTCAGGTGAGCCAGTTGTACATTGTAATCTCAGCATAAATTGCTAAGTTTTGGGGAATTGAAAAAAAAACACCATCTGAAAGAATAACACCTGATGAACAGTTATGTGAAAACATCTTTAGAGAGACAACCCAAATAGTTAATAATAGGTTTCAAGTTACACTTCCTTTGAAACATGATCCTTGCATACTTGGTGACACCAAGGAGATAGCAACCAAAAGATTCATGCTTTTAGAAAAAAAGACTACAAAAGGACAAAAGCTTGCGATCTGACTATTCAAGTTTTCTTAAAGAATATGAAGACCTAAATCATATGACTCGTCTTCCATCAAATTTTGAATTCACTAAGCATAATACATTTTACTTACCTCATCATGCTGTATTAAAGATGACAAGTACTACTACAAAATGTAGGGTTGTTTTCGATGGTTCTGCTAAATCAACTAGCGATTACTCCCTTAATGACATTCTACTTGTTGGTCCAACTGTACAGCAAGATCTTTTATCGATTGTCTTAAGATCAAGAAAATACAACATTGTTTTAAGTGGTTACATTGCTAAAATGTAATATAATAATCCCACTGCACCTATTCATACTTACCAGTTAAACACTGTTACTTATGGTACATCATCTGCCTTATATCTGAGTACCAGATGCTTGAAAGAAATAGCAAATCGTACGTCAGTAAGTTGAGCAAGATAATTAATGAAGATTTCTGTATTGATGACCTCCTAACTGGTGGTAACACTCTTGAGGAACCACTTCAAATCAAAGAGCAAATCACAGAAAAATTAGCTCAATATGATTTTAAACTTAGAAGATTCATTTCAAACAATCCAAATAAGATAATGGAAAATATTCCGAATGAAACAGTTTTGAAACTAGGGTCATCTAATCAAAATAAAACCCTCGGCTTAATTTGGGATTCTAGCACAGATAGCTTATCCTTTCATATCGAAATTTTTGAAAATACTAGACCCACGAAAAGGTCTATATTATCAGCAATCTCACAAATATTTAATCCATTAGGCTTGTTATCACCTATAGTTGTGATAGGAAAAATTCTGATTCAGCAATTATGGGAATCTAAATCAGGTTTGGATGAAACTGTCACTCCAGAAATATATACTGCTTGGAACACATTTTATAGTACTCTTATAGAGCTAAATCAACTAATAATTCCCATTCAAGTGACTAGCAAGAACACAGTAAAACTTGAACATCATTGTTTTTCTGATGCTAGTGAACGTGCATATGGTTCATGTATCTATTTCAGAACTCGTGACATCTCAGGACATTATCAAACCAGGCTAATGTGTTCTAAAACTAGGGTAGCACCCTTAAAAACAGTCACTTTTGCTCGCTTGGAACTATGTGCACGTGCAGCGCTATTGCAAGCGGAACTAGCTGAAAAGGCAAAGACCTCAATGAACATACATTTTGACAAATATTATTATTGGTGTGACTCAACTATAGTATTATCATGGATTATACGAAATCTAATTTATTCAAAATATTCATATCCAATCGAATTCACAAATTCAAAACCTGACTGACCCTGATGATTGGCATTATATTTCGGGGTCCAGTCCTCAATATTACATAATTGTGTAGTAGTGGCTTTCCATACTTTTTATCACGAGGTTCAAAGCAAAGGAAAAATGCGGCCGTCCGGTCCTGACTGCCGTTCACCTTGATGATCTAGTGGCAGTGGCGCACCGTCCTATTCGCTTCATTCACTCATTGTGGTTTTCGTGCTTGTGCGACAAGGTTCATTGCGTTCGTTGCCTCAGCTAATAAACAGAGTTGAAAAACCGAGTGATATCGCCTGACTTGATACCCTAGGTAATTCTTTTTGAATTATTCTCAAATATTTTCGCCTTTAACATAGAAGATTCAGGGCCTATTTAACGGGACTCCTTAGAGGCATCATACAATCTACTTTTATTTCAGCCCGTTTTTTCAGGGGTTATTATGGGTAAAGAGTCATAAGAAGAAAAATCGCTCACCGAGCAACGCCAAGGGTAATAATGATTGCGACACGTATACCTACTTATTAGAAAGAATGGAGAAACTAGAGACCTTAATTAATCGTCGCAATTCAAGATCTCCGTCCACTTCTTATTCAACCCATAGTCGTTTGTCACGACAAAGGCGTCGCTCAGAACATACACGCAGTCCAAGCGTGTTGTACCGTCGCCGCATGCTGCGTCGATCGATTTCGAAATCGAGAAGCCGTTCCCGTTCTGGCGCGTCTCACTCTTCCTCCCGTCGTAATCGGAGAGAGAGAATCTCGATCGCCGATGACACCGATCTATGCTCGAGCCTTGCCGGTTCAACATGAGGAGCAGCCAACGACGATGAAAAGACCAGCTATCTCCGTCTCTCCAGCTGATGAATACAACGTTGCCACGTGCAGAAGCAAATACCGACAATATGGATTGCGGAGACGACACTTTGATCTTACACAACGATGTAACCTTACCTGAGGACATTTTAAAGCTTATGGGAAAAGATGTAAATACAGACCAAAGCGCTGTTTTTTCCCTGCACGATCAACTTACTACGATCTGGCAAACTATTTTGACTAATGGCTTGAAAAAATCTGATGCTCAAACGCTTTTTAATGCATACCAAACATCAGAAAAACTATCATTCCTTAGACCTCCCGAATTGAATCCGGAAGTAAAGGCTGCCTCGTCAAAACAAAACATCTCTGTGGACGCATCTTATGTCGAGATGCAAAATCAACTAGGAAAAGGCCTGGCTGCACTAGGTAGATCAATTTCCACGATTCTCCTTGATTTAGAACATATGCCAGATCAATTCAAGGGCGATTTCCTTACTAATCTATGTGATAGCGGACGAATTCTAACGAATCTCTTCCATCGCATGTCGGTTACACGAAAGAACCTCCTCGTTCCTGGTCTAAAAATATCTAAAGAACTGGCAGATGACTGCCTACCCGGAGAATTTCTTTTTGGTTCTAATTTAACTCAGAAATTAGACACAGCAAAATCTCTTCTAAATGTGAGTAAGGATCTGAAACTTCCGACTTATCAGAATAAAGTGGGCGCTTCTAAACCAGCACTCGCTCCCAGAAGGGCACAAAAAGGAGGAGGGGGACAAACCCGAGCTGTCTATACAGAAACCTCAAGATCATCAGGGCCTTTAAACTCTCGCCCCCCGACTCACCGATTGGGGGTAGTGAGTCACGAGAGGGGCCCCTCATCCACATTTCACAAAAACACCTATTGGAACAAACCACAAGAGAAGAGGAGACGACATTAGAATTGGTAAGCAACTATGCAGGTCGCTTGAATTCTTTTTATCAGAAATGGTTAACCCTTACTGACAATCCTATTGTTTTGGGTTGGATCTCAGGATATAAATTACCATTTGTTAAAACACCTATTCAGCTACAAATCCCAAATAACGCTAATCATTCATATGATGAAAACCAATTAATCGGTTCCGAAATTAGTAGGTTACTAAATTCTGGGGCTACAGAAAAGTGTCACGCTAGTGTAACTGGGCAGTTTGTTTCTCCCATTTTTTTAACCGATAAGCCTAACGGTGGAAAACGCTTTATTTTAAACTTAGAGCGATTAAACGAATTTATCTACGCCCCGCATTTTCAGCTTTAAGACGCCCGAACAGCAAGTAAGTTAGTCCATCGTGGCAACTATGGAGTCACGCTAGACTTGAAAGACGCCTATTATATGCTAGCAGTTCATCGTGACCACAGAAAATATTTACAATTTTCTTTCAAGGATGTTTTATATGAGTTTACTTGCTTGCCGTTTGGTTTGCCTTCAGCCCCATACGTATTTACCAAACTAATGAAACCAATCGTCAACCACGTGAGAGCCAGGGGCGTACCCTGCGTAATTTATCTGGATGACTTTTTGGTTTTTGGACCAACACGTGACGAGTGTTCTAGAAACATTCGTTTGGTTGCTTCTCTTCTAATTTCTCTGGGATTTGTTATCAATTGGCAAAAGAGTGTCCTCTCACCTTCTACGGAATTTAAATTTTTAGGGTTCGTTTTCAATTCTATTGAAATGACCATAGAATTACCACCAATAAAACGTCAAAAAATCTTAAATTGGATAACGTTTTTTAAAACGCACTCTACTTGTAAAATTTCAAAGTTAGCCCAGTTTCTCGGGTTGCTTACATCCGCTTGCCCAGCAGTGAAGTACGGATGGTTGTATACCAAAATATTAGAAAAGGAAAAGTTCCTTGCTTTGTGCCAACACTCCCAAAATTACAATGCAACTATGTACATTAACCAGATAATAATTGAAGAACTTTATTGTTGAGAACACCATATCAATACTGCTAAAAATGATCTTAAACGAGATCATTTTCACCGAGAGATCTTTACGGATGCTAGTTTGTCAGGTTGGGGCGCCTTTTGCCAAGGCGAAAGTAGCTATGGTCGATGGACGGAACAAGAATCAAATATTCACATAAACATTTTGGAACTAAGAGCTATATATTTGGCCTAAAATGTTTTGCCAGAGATTTATCAAATTGCAACGTTCTTATTCGAACGGACAATTCTACGGCACTAGCTTATGTCAATAAAATGGGCAGCGTGCAGCACCCGCAATTAAGTGAATTGACAAGAACCATCTGGAAGTGGTGCGAATCAAAAAATTTATGGATATTTGCTTCCTACATCCCTTCATCAGAGAACTGGCAAGCAGACCGTGCGTCTCGCGTTTTGCATACCGAGACAGAGTGGTCTCTTAACCAACATGCCTTTGACGCAATAGCTCAAACTTTTGGGATCCCTGATATCGATTTGTTCGCGTCCATAGCTAATCACAAATGTGATAGATACATGTCTTGGTTAAGAGATCCTAGCTCGGAAGAAATTGATGCTTTCACTGTCTCTTGGAAACACTTGAACTTTTACGCGTTCCCACCCTTTTCAATGGTTCTGAGAACCTTACAGAAAATTATCAGTGACGAAGCATCAGGTATCTTGGTGGTTCCTCTTTGGAAGAACAGCCATGGTACCCATTATTTATACAATTAATTATATTAAATCCAATCTACTTTGGACCCTTAAGTAATCTCCTGCTTTGCCCTTTCAGCCAAAAGAAACATCCATTATCGGAAAACCTTATCCTGGTGGCGGCCAGATTGTCAGGCAAGCTTTTCAACGAAAAGGGAAAGCTGTAGACACCATGATGAACTCCTTGAGTGACAATACGATTTCTCAATACAACTGTAGCCTAAGACTTTGGTGGGAATTTTGTCAACTGAGGGACATATCCCCTTTTAAATACGACGTACCCAATATCATTTCATTCCTACAGCAGGTTATGAACACATCAAATAATACTTATAGTTCCTTCAATTCCCATAGGGCGGCTCTTTCCCTTATCACTTCTAGCTATTAAGGACAAATACAGAGGTAAAACGATTTATGAAAGGAATTTTTCGAACTAGACCGCCTATGCCTAGATATAATTTTACGTGGAATCCTCAAGATGTACTTAAGTTTTTAAATAAACCGCCCGATAAAGATCTAAGATCCGTATCCTGTAAATTAGTTACTCTCTTAGTGTTAGCTACCGGACAGAGAATCCAGACTGTTGCTCTTATTAGATGTCCAAATATTAAATTTTCTACCTCAGGGGCAGACATCCAAATCCCCGATTTTGTGAAAACTTCAGGGCCTAAAATACTTCAACCTAAGTTGTCATTGCCATATTTTCATGAATGTCCTAACCTGTGTGTTGCTTCTTGCCTACATCAGTACCTTGAACTAACTAAACCACTTCGCCCTGCCGATTGTGATAAGCTATTTCTCACCTTCAATAAACCACATGGCCCAGCTACTAAGCAAACCTTGAGTCGCTGGGTAAAAAATACAATGGCAAAGGCAGGAATCGACACAAATATGTTCAAACCCTCAAGGCACGCTTCCACTTCATGTGCGCCAAGACAAGGGGTGCATATAGATGCAATACGTAGATCAGCTGGTTGGAGCCAGGACTCTCAAACCTTTGCAAGGTTTTACAATAGACCTCTAGTAGAGAAATATAATATAAGATAAATTATTTAACATCTGTCTTGAATCTATTATCATCAGAAACATAGAGGATATACTTACGGTTATTTGAATTTGTTTATCGTTTGTATCAACTTTTTCGTTTTTCTTAAAATAAAAGTTTCTTCCACCTGTCTTACTGCAACTTCCTTTAAACAGCTACACAATTATGTAATATTGAGGACTGGATCCCGAAATATAATTTATCGATCAAACGAACTTACCTGAAGTTCGATCGTAATTATATGAGGGTCCAGTCCGAAAATATTACAAACCCTACCTCTACCCGCCCCTGAGAGTTGCAGGTAATACATCTGGATACTTTGAAGAATGAAGCGAATAGATCATCAAGGTGAACGGCAGTCAGGACCGGACGGGCGCATTTTTCCTTTGCTTTGAACCTCGTGATAAAAAGTATGGAAAGCCACTACTACACAATTATGTAATATTTTGGGGCTGGACCCTCATATAATTACGATCGAACTTCAGGTAAGTTCGTTTGATCGATAAATTATATCAATACAACCGAAAATCCGGCTGACATTCTATCTAGGGGCAGTACTCCTGGCAAACTCATGAACAAACTTTGGTGTGTAGGACCCGATTTTCTCACAAGGGCAACTAGCACTTGGCCTATGAATAACAAATGCAATAAATCCCATTTAATTGATTCCTCACTCTTGCCTGAGCGGAAGACCAATACCGCAACTTTAGCTTCAACTGTAAATACGTTAGATTTATTCACAAGATATTCATCTCTTGCAAAATTACAGAGAGTCACTGCGTATTGCTTGAGATTTCGCCGAAATTGCCGTGCACATAAGAATAACCGTAAGTCTGACACGTAAAGTGCCGCTGAGCACAATGACTCTCTCATAAATTTGGTTCGTGCAGCACAGTCCGAGTCATTTTCTGACGACATTAAATAACATACGCAAGTATCGTCTAAAAGTAAATTGTAAAAACTGACTTCATTCTTAGACGAAAACAATATTCTTAAGGTAGGTGGACGCTTAAGCCAATCAGATTTTACAGAAAACAAAAAGCATCCTATGCTACTTTCGCCAAAATATCCGCTCACTGTCCTTATTGCAAAGGCAGAACATCTCCGTCTTTTGCATGCAGGTCCTACGTTACTGCTATCATCTTTGAGAGAAAAATTCTGGCCGATATCTGGCAGAAACTTAGTTAAAACCATTGTCCATAACTGTATTAAATGTTTTAGATTCAACTCCCCAGAATATAAGTATTTAATGGGCGACTTGCCAAAAGACAGGCTCACATTTACTAGACCATTTTTAAATGACGGAATAGATTTTTGCGGACCCTACTTATTGAAAGAACGGTTAACAAGGTGTGAAAAAACAATAAAGGCTTATGTTTGTTTATTTGTATGCCTCTCTACAAAATGTATACATTAGAACTTACTACTAGCTTATCCACAGAGTCTTTCATTGACTGCCTGCGAAGATTCTTTGCTCGTCGTGGAGTCAGCGCCAACATTTATTCAGATAATGGAAGTAACTCCATTGGAGCGAAGTCTGAAATCAAAAAATTGTTAAGAAATGAAATACTTACCACTCACTTAACTAACTTAAATGTTTCCTGGCATATGATTCCTCCGAGAGCTCCTCACTTCGGCGGAATTTGGGAAGCTGGAGTAAAATCTACCAAATATCATCTAAAAAGAGTTCTTTCATATTCTCCTCTTAGTTTTGAACAGTTCAATACTATTCTCTGTCAGGTTGAAGCTTGTCTTAACTCTAGACCTATTTCTCCTTTACCTTCCACATCCAACGACCTTGAATCTCTAATCCCAGCACATTTCCTGATTGGAGAACGATTAAGAAACCTGCGAAGGATAGACGTAACTGAAATTCCGCAAAATCGGCTGAAGATGTATAGGAGGCTTCAGCAAATCAAGCAAAACTTTTGTAAACGTTGGTCCAAGGAGTATCTGTCCGAATTACAACAAAGAACCAAATGGAATCAAACTAGCCCCATTATGCTACAATCTGGAATCATAGTGCTAATCAAGGAAGACAACTTGCCACCATTGGTTTGGAAAGTTGGATCATTGAAAGGCTGCATCCTGGTAGTGAGTTAGGGCAGTTACACTGAGGACTGCTACAGGAACATTGACGAGGCCCACCAAGAAGATCTCCCCCCTTCCTGAGGTAACCACCGTTATTGAAGACTACCAGCCTTCAAGGGTGCCGGCATGTTAAGATTATAGAGACATTTAAATCACCCGCCATTCTACTGCGATCTGTTCGTGGCTGCTGTGACTTCAAACAACTGTCAACTATGTCAAATGACTTCGAGTACAGACTTCTGCTAGCACACATCGTGCGGATGGGGACGAAGAAGAAGCCGAAGATTGATTCGATCGACTTCCATGGCCGCCACAAGAGACGACAGCTCTCCGCCAATTAATTCATTTTAATGTAAAAGAGTTATAAATACCAAGAAAATAAATCCAGCAAATTAACGTTCATATGTGTCAGTTAATCTCACACATACACAAGGCCTGCACTCGTTGTACATGGTAGGGATAAAGCAAAATTTCCGTAGGATTCTATGGACTGTGGTATGCTATAGTCTTACGCGGCGGCCTAATTCCCGAGTGCTGATATCTGCATTGATTTCCACGATATTTAAAATTTGTTCCTCCCGCTCTACAGTAACCTGTCTTTCACGAGTGCGAATATTAGTGGGCTGAACACTTCCTGTTTCTCGAAGTCTTTGGTACACTTGCACAAATGTCCTTCTGTCTGGGTGCACCCGTTGGCGAAATCTGTCGCGGTAAATTTGAGCTACAAGATTTGAATTCTGTAAATCAAGACGACGACGTGCGCGAACAAAAACAAAACAACATACTAACCACTTTTACCGTTTGGGATCGATTGCTGGTTCGATAAGAGTGATGATGACCGACGCGCTGTTGTCATGTGTGTTTTAAATATTCAATTTAATGAAACTTACTTTCTTACTGACTACAAATTTTGGCTTAACTTAGAAAAACTTAATGCGATTGGTTTGTTAATTACCCAATTTAAAAACGTTTTAGATTAGGTTACAAAAATTAGTAAGATTGTGGTGATTGTGGTCGATATAAAGCACTAATGGTGGGTTTCACCAAGGTTGTCAAATCAACAGTCCGTTATCCTCCACCTATAGGGTAACAGTCCGTTAAATACAATGAATGAGCTTAAAGTTCCAATCAACAAATTTTAGCAACCAATAGCTATGAAATGTTGAAAACAAAATACTGTCAAAGTATGAGATGTCATCTTGTCATTGAAGCATCACGAGCTTATTGAATATTAAGAAATTACATATAATTCAGTCAAAATTTAAAGAAATGTTTGATTTTTGAATTAAATTCATGTTTTAATTACTATTGTTGATTTTTTATTCATGTTTATATTATTTTCTTCAATTGATATGCAATTTTACTGATTTAACATCACCTCCTGTTTTTTTTTATATAAACCTCTTGCAGATAGCCATTAAGCACCTACTTGATGACAGGTTCTACCAAAAAGTTCATAGATATTGCTCGTTTCCCAACATTCATTCATTTACTTGCCGTCCATCAGAACCATTATGGCACCTTAGATTGATATTCCCACAAAACCATTCAGGTCTTTTGATATCCATACATCCATAAAGTTGAATATTTTTCGTTGTTCAGGAACTGAACAAACATCCACACTATATTCACAGCGATTAAGAAATTCCCAAATATATGCCCTAAAGCTACCAGCAAACCTAAAACCTGCAAAAAAACTACAAATTTGCCATATTTTTCTTTTTTCACGAGTACATATTCTAGGTTATATTTATATTAGACATTATTTGAATACAGCTGATTATTGCATTTCAAGACTCATCGAGTGACACATGTGTGGGAACTGTCAACCCTTGGTCCCAGTCACAAAATATATACTCTGAAGAAGGTTTAATTCCATGCTATTCAATGACAACACGGTGACTTGTGTGGTTGTCAGCGGCCATTTTGTGAGGGTGCGACATGGTTGCTAGATTATGCATTAATATCCCGTTTCACCCCCCTGGTACCAGTGGAGTAAGCTCCGCCAACTGTTGAAATATACCCTACTATGCTTTATAAGAGTATTCGTGGAATTTTTCCCAAAATCGTTGCACAACACTTGGAAATACAAATGAAAATTTAAAATTATTTCCATGACACCGCAAAATAGCTCCGTCAGTACCTCGGATTATACAACTTGACAGTAAGGATGTTCGATAGGATCCTATATTTAGAAGTATCAATACATTTCACGAGTATCGTCATCATTCGATCCGGAGTGAGTCAGAAAGAGTGACTGCCATTTGGCTGCGACATTACCCTGCCAAATCAGACATATCTTTCATCATTTTCAAAGAAATTGTACAAAATGTTCAAATTTGTGAAGTTAGCGAGTTTCACTTCATACGTTGTTAACAGACATGCCCAAATCATCAGTTGCTGCCGTGATATTCATCCCGACTTCTGCATCCCCACGGCTAGGCGACCTGTATGTTAAATTTGTATTGAGAGGGCAGCGGCTTATGCTATATATCATGACACAGTTTTTGTGCACTGATTGCAATGGTTAGATGATACCAAAAATATTTTCATAAATAGGATATCTTTCCCATTCCGGATCGAACAATCCACCAAAGATGCTTATAATCATGATACCTAGTAAATTTACATGAAAAATCCTCTGTATGTAGGTATATAAGAGCTTTCTTATATTTGTTCATCAATTTGATGATACAACACATCTGCTGAAAATGATCATAATCATGATAGTAAACTATGACGAAGGTCCACTGTATGTAAGAATTTCCCGATACTTCATTTGAAATTTGACAACAGACCATGGCGGTGTTCACATTTTTCAAATATTCTTCAATAAGTGTTATCAGTCTAGCTCCAACTATCATAAGTACTACGTTTGTATTCCTACTTTAAATTCAAAACCAGCAAATGTAAAAGATTCATGTCGCACCCTTCACCACGGGACGTGATCGTCGTTAGACTTGGCAACCCCACCAGTGAAAAAGGCAATCAAACAATAAACATTAATAGTTTTTATGATTTTTGGACTTAAAAGACATTATTTGTGAGACATTTTTCATAATTTTTTGTCTATGTCCATAGTAACTGCATTATGCATCACGGAGATGTAGGGATTGATACGTCTTACACATATTATGTGTGTTTTAGGATGGAGAGGACAATGTTTTTATTGCTTTGAAGAAATTCATTAACCCGTAAATCAATAAATGATTACTATTATGATGTAAAGGAAGATGCGGAATTGGATGGAATGCATTTTATATTCTATTTTCTTGCAAAATACAGACAAATCCACACTATTCAACAGGTATGTAATGATAACAGTATATTGAACTTAAATTCGAGATTGCCATGCATTAACAAACGTCCAAATCTGCTGCCAAATTTAGCAGCTAGAAAATCGACCTATTATTTGCCGCATTCCCATTGGCTTTTGGGGATAACTGATTGTTAATTGTAAATTTATAACACAAATAAAAATACATGAAAGTTGACCTGTTTTCTCTGTACAAAAGCATTATGTTGGAATCAAGAAGTGGTCTTGTTTATAATACAGTCGAATTTTCACGATTTTATTCAATATTTTAATAGAAATCACTAATATTCTGAGACCTTTGACAGCTTCTGTCAAATTGCATTGCGATAAGGTATTTTCCCATTGGTCCATAATATTAATGTTGGTTAAATCGGCGCTTAAAGTTGTAAACTATAAAGCCATTTAGACAAATTTACTTTTGGACCATGGGTCATATGAACTTTTTGGCTTGTTTTGACCACTCCCCCTATTACCCACTTCAATAATGACTACCATAACGTTTACACCCTGTATACTGAATAATAAAATGATATTTTAATTCGGGTAAACATTACTTGCATTAACGTAAGCAAGAAACCAAATAATTTTTTACCCGATGTATTTATTTTTTTTCCCTACCGACACGAGGTCGGTCGTGGGCAACACGCGATGATACATGCAGTGCAGGCGGAGTACGACGTTGCCAGTTGTGTGAGGGATTTTGTTTGTCTGTTTTTCTCCGGAAAATTGTATTCAATAAATAGATGTATTGATACATTTTACGCTATTAGGCATATGGATTTAAATTATTACGGTGTAAAATTAATCTATTTCATGACTAAAAAGAAGTTTAGCATTTTTTGCACCGAAACGGTTGATTTTCGGACATAGGTTATAACGTACTTTTTATTAGAATAAGGCAAGGAATCACCCCTTAAAGTTACGAATATTATTTCCCTAACACCATATAGATTATGTTCATGTGATATAATCTGTTATGTACAAACTAAGATTACACAATCCAACCATAATCAATATAATTTGGCAGGGGAAAAATAAAATATTATGACAATGCTAATCCCAACTTCCCATCACTCCTGCAAATACATTTTTTATCAGTCTCTTCGAACTATTCTGACAGAAATGCAGAATAAATTGTCTGATAGTTCAACATACTTTTAGTTTTTTTAATAGAACATATTTTTTTTACTTTTATACCTATATGTAAAGCTTTCGCATAAAAAATGTTTTTTGAATATAGTTGTACATCAAGTCTTGTATACACCAGATACAAAAAACAAAATTGGTAAGCAACAAAAGGTCTAAAACTTTGTTTTGAAAAATACAGAGTTTTGTTAATACTTACTTATTACGAGTACAACCTTGATGAAAACTGAAGCTTTGAATGCCTTCTTATCTTGTCTAGTTCCCAAATACCTGTAGCTAACTGCCAAATCATTAGATATTAGGTGCCTCAAAATTATATTTGTCTAATTGGTAATATCACGTCCCCCTTAACTTCAAAAAGTACAAGATCTGGAAAAGTACATAATATTCGGTAATTCTTTAGCTTAGCTACACCAGCATTTTTGTCATAATTTGGTCATATAACCAACTAAAATCCTCAAGATATTTATTTTATTCCATTATTCAGCATAAAAACGATGTAGGGCTTTACTTTTGCTAAACGAAATTATTTTTCTACAAACATCAAGTACCACTTTCCTTGTAATAAAAAAATAATTTTTGCAGTTTGATCAGTAGCTGCATTATTTGAAAAATATTCAAATTGAATTAATGCTGTTCCTTGATGACTGGCATAGACTTCAAATAATTGAATACATTTTGATGCTTAAGTAAAAACACTCTTTCGATATCGTACATCTGCTACCGCTCACTAGGAGGTTCTCCTTTTTATAAAATCTTAGGTAATTATCTTGCTGCTTATGTGGTGGACAGCAGACCCGTTTCCTTCTCGGCGTTAGCCATTTTTCATGCACGATGGCAATATATCGCCCCCAGCACCACCACCAATCTACATGGCCCATACAAAGGCATAGAAATGGAATCGACGCTAGTTCTTGATTAAACGATGAGCAGGAACGCAGTATGGCTTTTGTCAACACACTTATGTCTGATTCCTGCACAACTACTATTCGTCGTTACTCGTCAGAGCTGTCCGGTGGACCTTTGCTCTTAGTTGAAGTCTCGTCGGTCTGTTAGTCTGTCAGATCTGGGTACCCAGAAGGGGAAAAGGAAAAGAAGGACAGAAAGGATGAAAGACATAGAGCAAAGAAAAGAAGTAAATCATTTGAAATAGCTTAAGCATGATTGGCTTGACTGCTCGAATAATTGTTTAGCTCCAAAAAATAATTTTGATCTGTTTTGTATACTGAAACAATATTGGCAGGTCTGAAATTCACAGTTTAATTTTGATCACAGTGCGAGGCGCGGCCTGGAATGTTTGCGGACTTGCTCGACTGTGTAGTCTACTGAATCACGCAACAGAGGGTTGCTGTGCGATTCGGCTTGATTATAACGCCGCTGTGCCTGTTGTTTCACATCATCCCTTAGATATGGGATAAGATCTCTGTGACTGGTCTCATTTGACACGTATCATGGGGCGTCGTTGATTGTGCGTAGGGTTCTGTTTTGCGGGACTTGCAGTCTCTGCATGTGCGTCTTGGCAAGAAAACACCAAGCCGCACATGCGTAGGTGATTGCTGATCTTATGATTATACAACCGAGTCTTGTTGATCAAACTAAATTTTGTATTTCTGCACAAGGAGAAAGCTGCCGAAAGGTAATTTGGAATTTTGTTTTCAAAATATCAGTATTTTTCTGCCAGGTCAATGATGACTCCAAGGAACCTGACAGATATTTCTAGTTGGGCACAACAATGTTTTTTAGTACAATAGATTGCCTGCATTTTCGAATTATTAATTTTGATCAGCCACCGATCCATCCACTCCAATACTTCGTCCACCCCACTCTGCAGCCTGTCGTGAACCAGGTTACCAGAACACGACTGGGCTAGCAGTGAAATTTCGTCAGCATACAGATAGACTTCACAGTTGCAGAGGCAAGGGACGTCATGTATATAAAGTGAATAAAGGATTGGTCCTAAGACCGAGCCCTAAGGAACACCGGCTCTTACCTGCCGCGTTGTTGACAAAACATTGTTAATTTTGATCCGAAACTTCCTTCCTTCTAGAAAATATTTCAACAGTTTTAGTAGCCAAAATGGTGGCTCGTGGAGGTGAATTTGCAAGTGGGACTGTTAGCGGGATGCGCCCCTCCACAATTCGCACACCTTTGCTTCTCTTGTCCTGTGAGGGCATAAATATGTCATGTGGTCGGAAGCACATTTTAAACATTTGGGCGGTGCTATGCAGTAAGACTGCGCATGACCATACCTTTGGCAGCGGTGACACTGCCCAATAAGTCTAGAGTTCTGTTGAACTTCAACTCTGATTGCTAGACCCAGCAGCTCATGTTCATTGAACAGCTGCTGGGACTTTTTAATCTTGGGCAGTATCACGACCACCAAAGGCATGGGTGCGCCGTCACTGAGTTTGAATCGGATAATCTGGAGGGGAGTATATCCTCTGTGTTCTAATTCCCCTTTGATCTCCTGTTTCGGAAAGTTTGCGGGTATACCTCTGACTACCGCGTGAATATTACGTTCAGTAAAGAAGAGGGAACGTATGATGGGCACATCCTCCTCTCTGAACAGGCGAATGATCCTGCGGTAGTCATCCTCAGTTTTCGGCAAAATCCTGATTCCGGCATAAACGGCAACTGCGCGTTCTATCTTAATGCCTAAGCTTATAAAGGAGTAGCTTAGATTTCGCCACTTGGCCGCATCACACAAAACAAAAGGTGTGACTCGCCGCTGGCGGGGTGCTGTGCTGGTCAACTCACCAGCAACGTGTGATTGCTGAGATAATGCACCGTCAGTCGATGCAATGGCCAAAGATTAAGATGTGGTCGCTGCATCGACTGGCATAGGATAAGTGACAATGGAAGTTGATACAGTTAATGAAACAGACGGTTTTGAGGGGACTGTCAATTTGAATTTGGATTTTGCTTTCGGAAGAGTAGGTGGAAAGTCATCCGGCTTGTCGGTTTTGTCGCTGCGTCTTTTCCTAGACTTGGACTGGATGAACTTATCACTCTGTATTTTATCGTCGGTCGATGTCATGTTATCAGTCAAATTTTGAAAAGGACTTTTTAAATTGACAGCCTTGTCGGATTCGGAACTATTTTGATTATTAATTAACTGTGTTACCTGGGTGGTCAGGCAGTCAATTTTACTGTTTCGGTCCCTAAGTGTTCCAGTTAGTTCCTTTATTTGCTGGGCTTGGCCTTCGATGATCAGGGTCAGGCACTGGATGGTTCTGTCCTTTTCGTCTGCTGCAGCTGGTGTCATCAGTTCCTTTGATTTCATCGAAATTTCTGTTCTCTTATTCTTGCTGGGTACATTCATCATGAGTCTCTCTTTTAAATCGCTTTTGCTATTGAAAAACTTAAAAACTTTCACGAGCAAAAATGTGACGTTTTGTGAATTATCCCTTATACTGGGCGATTTCATGCACGACTTAACGTAATCTAGTTGATCAGCTGTTTCTACACCAGTGTCCTCCACATGTTACGCCACCAGATGGTAACTAGCTAGTGATTTCCAGTGGTGGTCAAACCTTTTGGTTACGTCACACCCATTTTTTGACATGATTCGGGTGGTTTCGGTACTCGTCTTCCACAACTTCTTAAAAATGGCGGTAGCTCAAGAACTGTGCACAATCGGATAGGACATATATAGCTTTTTCTATGGTTCGCATATCATCTCCTTTCATTTGCCCTATGACTTTGGGGATACTCTGTATAAATATCGAGAATAATGTGTGACAGGTACCAAATCATTATTTTTGTCTGTGACGGGAAGAAAGTTTGACATTTTATCTCTGTTGACAGGTCACAAAATGTCACTTTTTATGAAATTACTTTTTCCCTGGGAAAAAAATGAGTACTTTTTTCCGGGTATTGTATAAACACATAAGCAAAGGTAGATATTTAATTTTAGAATATTTTATTATACAATAAAGTTACATTTGCTTTATATCAAAATTACAATTATTAAATGTGCATTGCATGAATGACACGTACATACCTTAAACTATTAAGTACAACAGTCAAATTTTCTTGTGTTAGAATTATATGTTTTTCTGCTATCACAACTCTCGTTTATGTACTTGGTCGCAAATCCGGTGTTATTTCAGCACTACCACACGTTCTAGACACTTTATTAACTATTTCTGTCCTGTGTGCTGTCGATTCATGAGCGACCGTTTCTTTAGTGTCATTTGTTTTGTATTAGTTTTCGGCACGGGTATCACGTATCTTGAAAAGTGACATTATGCCGATTTTTTTGAATTATATTGGTTTTTTGTGACATTATGTAGTTTTTTCTAAAAGATGTTAACTTAGTACTAGCTGTGGCACTAGCTGAACCCATTTTGTAGTGGTACGTGTTACCTAAACGTCATGAGGCCTCTATTATCAAAGTTTGGCTTTGATGTGATGTAAAATCTGCTTAAAAATGGCATTACTGGAGGTTATGACAATGCATAGGTGCAAAGTGAGGATTTGTGTGCCAATAAAATGTATTAAAGATGATTTCATTGCTAAAAATTAGTTGCGCATCCACGTTTTCTTATTCATTATAAAAGTGAAAAGAAATAATTATATTCACTGTGCACTGTCGAATTACAAGTCATATACATGCTAACAGTAATTACACACAACGCGGACGCGGTGATCTCCCGTAATCCTCCCCAAAGTGTTTGAAAACGTAAAAAATCGTAATTTATAGCTTTGAACATAACCTGTCTTCAGAAAGGACAGCATATTGTAACAAGAATGAATAGTACTGCTAGCGCCATCTGTTGAGAACCGCGCTAGGCACTCTTCTTCGAGATCGAAGACTGGCCCCGAAGGTTCTAGACCATTGATTCTCAAAGTGGTCTATATGGACCCCTAGGGGTCTATGACAACCTGCAAGGGGTCTACGTCAGCGAAAAAAAATTTGGGGGTCCATGAAATGAATATGGGGGTCCACGATAGTGGATCTCAACACATACACTGATAGTACCTATTTACTTACATCATACTATCTTATAATATCAAAACATATACATTATTTATAAAAGTACCTGTGAAGTAAAAAATTTATTATATATGTTTATAAAATTGTGTAAGTTGTAGGATGTTGGTATTCGCTTTGTGGTCGCAATACATTTTGAACTTCGCACTGACTTGTTCAATTCGTCACTCTATAAATACGAATGTGGGACAAATACGTTTATTCGTTTCCTGAATCTTGAAAAGGAAAGTGCTAAGAAAATATTTTAAAAAATATAAACAGATAGTATATCACACAAATTATAGTGAGTCAGTGTTATTTTGTTTGAGAG